CGTGTGCACATGAGCAAAGGCTCATGGATTTGTTGGTGACATATGACTTCCAAACTGTTTATTGTGTGCTGTCTACAGTGCTATGTCTCTGAGGGAGCATGCTTCGTCTACACACTCCAGGGAGAGTGTTTCTCTATTATAATGGTTATTATTTTTAAAGTCTTTATTTGTTTTCAGAGTCATTCTGTATCTTTTTGTTTAGTACTGTCCAAGACCATTTTCCAAACATTGCATCAGAGAGAGCCCTACCAGGAAACAGAAACACCCAGATGATTTAAAACACAAGACATTGAATGCAGAAAAGTGGCTCTGCATGATGGAAGAGGCTGTATACTCAACCAAAGAATATATAGTCAACCCAGAGATGCACTACTTCTGGAAGCTGCTACCTTTCTTGGGACGTAGGGGAGAATAAGATGAGGAGGTGGTGTTACTTTCAGTGCCTAGGGACCATGGTTGAATGAAAAACTTTAAAGAACAAGATACTGTTGACCCAAATGCTATTAGGTGACAAGATTCTACATGTCATACAAGTAACTTGTAAATAGTAAGGTTATAAATCCTACCTCATGTGAAAATAGAATCTTCTGAGAGTCACATTTGTACTCGTTTTTATCTTCTAACTATTTAAGTCACCTCTAGTCATAATCAAACGTCTTAGCTGGTTCTTCTCTAAAAAGCCCTTGAAGGAAGTCAGTAGCAGTCCAAGGAAGTCTCTATCCATGGCAGAAAGAAAAATACCCTCACTCTTTCCTCCTGCCTTCTAATCTACCATTTGCATCTCCCATTGAACAAACCAGGTAGAAGGCAGAAGACATTTGGAACCTAGAAAACAGAGCCTTCAGAAGTCAACCTCTTAAGTACAGAGCAGAACAGGAAAAGTTGAAGTATGGATCTAAAGACAAACACACCACAACCCACATAGTCCTCCTTTCCTGGCCTTGTTCTAAATCAGCATATCCTATAGCAGACTTTGGTGTGGTCATTGAATTTATTAATGTAGAATTTTAACCCAAAATTCCTGTATGCCTTTTACATATTAAGTTGGTAATAATTCATCTTTTAGGCATGATATCCAAAAGAAATTGTCAATTCAAAAGGTAGCATATGATCAAGAATTTCTGGCATTGAAGGGAGAAGTTTAAGCTGCAGTGGAGGCATTGGAGGAAAACAAGGTTCCAGGAATTGATGGACTACAAATTGAAATTGTTCAACACACTAGTGAAGCACTGGAAGCATTCACTCGTTTATGCCAAGAAATTTGAAAGATAGCTACCTGACCAACCGATTTAAAGAGATTCATATTTGTGCGCATTCCAAAGAGAGATGACCCAAGAGAATGCAGAAATCATTGAGCAGAAATATCATTAATATCACATGTAACTAAAAATTTGATGAAGATAATTAAAAAATGGTTGCAACAGTACATCAACAGGAAACTGTCAGAAATTCAAGCTGAATTCAGAAGAGGACCTGGAATCATTATTGCTAACATGAGATGGATCTTGACTGAAAGCAGAGAATACCAGAAAGATGTTGACTTGTGCTTTATTAATTTGCGAAAGGTTTAGACAGTGTGGATCATAACAAACTATGTGTAACATTGGGAAGAGTGGGCATTCCAGAACACTTAATTCTTCTCAAGAGGAACCTGTACATAGACCAAGAGGCAGTAATTAGAACATAACAAGGGGATACTGAATGGTTTAAAATCAGGAAAAGTATGTGCCCAGATTGTATCCTTTCACCATATTTATTCAATCTGTATGCTGAGCAAATAATCCGAAAAGCTATATTATATGCAGAAGAACATGGTATCAGGATTGAAAGAAGACTCATTAACATCCTGAGTCTTCATACAGATGACACACCTTGCTTGCTGGAAGTGAAGAGGACTTGAAATACTTACTGATGAAGATCAAAGAGTACAGCCTTCAGTAAGAATTGTACCTCAAAGTAATAAAAAAAATAAAAAATAAATAAATAAATCCTCACAATTGTACCAATAAATAATATCATGATAAATAGAGAAAAGAAGTTGCCAAAGACTTCAACACTCATGGAAGTAGCAGTCAAGAAATCAAATGACATATTGCATTAGGCAAATCTGTTGCAAAAGAGCTCTTTGAAGTGTTCAAGAGCAAAGATGTCAGTTTGAGGACTAAAGTGCACCTGACCCAAGCCATGGTATTTTCAATCTCCTCATCTGCATGTGCAAGTTGGACAACGAATTAGGGAGAGTGTAGAAGAATTGATGCATTTGAATTATCGTGATAGCGAAGAATAATGAATATACTATGGACTGCCAGAAGAATGAACAAATCTGTCTTGAAAGAAGTACAGCCAAATGCTCCTAAGAAGAGAGGATGATGAGACTTTGTCTTAACATTCTTTAGATGTGTTATCAGGAGGGACCAGTCCCTGGTAAAATGGAGGGTCAGAGAAAAAGAGGAAGACCCCCAATGAAATGTATTGACATAGAGCCAGCAACAATGGTCTCAAACATAGTTGTGAGGATGGTACAGGACTTAGCAGTGCATAGGGTCACTGTGGGTTGAGCCAACTCAATGGTACCTGGCAACAACAGTAATTCTTGCTTCCAACCAAACTATTCTTTTATCTGCTTTCCTTAGTAGTTGAATTACCTTGGAGATTATACACAGGAATACAGATCACTCAATCAGCTCATAACTCATAACTAATAATTATGTTATTAACTTAATGAAGCACTTTCACATGTATTATGGCATTTGATCCTCATAAAAGCTCTGAATAGTTATTATTATTTCCATTTTATAGAAGAATAATCTAAGTTTCAACAGATAATGGAGCCAGAATTCAAAGTCTGAACTGTCTCATTCCAAGTCCCATAATCTTCTCATGATACTTTGCTGTCTCCAGGGAAAAGAAGTTGCTCAGAGGGCACTGTAAAAACATTTCTGGGCTGGTTGACTGTGTTTAGGTGCAAAGAGAGGATGTGTTTTTAATCAGCAAAACTACGCTTAGTGATCCAGAAATGAAAATTACACTCCTGGACATACTTAACAGTAAGCCAACCTAGCATTCTACATTCTCTTTAAAGAAATGACTTCTCTAGATGTGGTATTTGAATATATGGGGCTGGCTGTCCTCAAAGGGTCACAGAAGTAGACATCATCCCAAACCTGACAGGGGAGATAAGAGAAGGAGAGAGGGACTTTCAGTCTCCCTGTCTCTCCTAGATAAAATAAAGGATGCTCAGTGAAATTGGGGACAGGTTTATACTAAAAGGTTACTTGTTATTAATCTGAAATTCAAATGTTTTTGGCTGTCTTGTAATTGGTTAAATCAGAGAACCTTCCCTCAAAGTGGGCAGTGATCCCACAGTTTCGGTTGTGCATAGTGGGGAGGGGTGTTAGGAGGCGGATTCTGAGCACAAGAGTCCATATGGCTCTGCTTTTGCCATCTGTGCCCTGGGCATGTCCATTCCTGCACAGGTGCAGAAGCAGAAGGAAGATCTGGGAAGGGGATTCCCAGGGTCCAGCTAGTGCTGATGAATTCTGCGTTTGAGGTTCTCTCTGTGGTAAGGTTAGCTGACCTGCCTTGCAGTGAAGGTTAAAGTTGATCTACCTGGTTTCACTTAGCTTTTCTAGTCTAAATTAGTCTATTTTCACTGTTGAGTATTCAAATCTGTCCAGGAAGTTAAGATTAGCCTTCTAAATGTGTAAACTTTTATGAAGAAGATGAAAAAGGAAGAGGCCCAAGATGGCCTAGATGTGTCAGGCAGGGAGGTCTGTTTGCTGCAGCTCTGGGTGAGTAGGTGAGGAGGTTACAATGAGTTCTGGTGCCGCTGGCCCAGGAGAAGGGGACACAGCAGGTTCTGTTGGTTCTTCCATGTTACAGAGAGGATGGGCGGATAGACTGCTGGGGCCAGTCACTCCTTTCTGATTCTAAACATTGCAGAGTTTGAAGGGATTGTTACCGTAATCTCCTCTTCCAACAGAAAGGTATATATAGTCAATTCCCATCAACAAAGAGGGAACTTATACAACTTTTCCTGGTAGTTCATCTTAGAGCTCAGGGAGGGGGTCCTGAAAACTGCTTTTACTAATCGTTTCTGGGAACTTTAAAATGCCATGTGTCTTCTCTGGGCCTTTGTACTTGAATGTGCATCTGTGAAAACTAGACTTCCTTCTGGTTCTAAAGTTCTGTCAGTATACGAGTATCTTTAAGCATCCCTATCACTCAGAAACCCTATGCAGGGCCACTGTGAATCAGAACTGACTCCATGGCACACCGCCACCACCACCACCATAACCACCACCATCACTCTTGTTCTGTGTTCACTCACCAGGCAAGAGGGCTGATAACCATACTTTGTCAATCATTCTCATTATATCTGAAGGTTGTTTTTTCTGTTTCCCCTCATTCCTCTTCCCCTTGTTCAGGCAAAATAACTCTTTTTTAAAGAATTATATTCAAATGAAGGAACCAATGAGCTCTACTCTTTTCCTTGTCTTATGTCAGCAAGAAGAACGCTGCTGAGCCATGTAACATTTCAGTCTCAGCCCACCATTCATTTATTCATGGATCTATCCATTCAACAAACATTTACTGAGCTCATGCTATGCACCAGGCAGATACAAGCCATTGGGAGGAAAGTTTCAACAGAATTACAAAGTACAGGAAACCCCAGGTGACTTGAGACCTGCTTACTCAACTATATTGCTTCTCTCTTCTGTGGCTGGACTCTTGGGAGTGTCATTGTTTGCCATCTTGCCATCAAATGGTAGAGGCAAAACCAAAAGGAGACTGGCAGTTTGAGTGAAAGGTTGAAAATATTGGCTCAACTGAAGTATTTGAATAATCTCTGGGTTTCCACCCCTAGGTGTCTGTGGGCCTCCTTGACCAGAGATAACTGGGAACTGGCTGTTTTTACTGGGAGAATACAAAGCAGCCTGCTGGAATGCCCTTATTTATTTACTTCTTCTCTGCCCTCTGACTACAGTGCTGCACTTGAGATGGAGTTACTGCCCCTTTGGCTCTGCCTGGGTTTTCATTTCTTGGCAGTGGGATGGAGGAACAGAAGTGGAATGGCCACAGCAGCTTCTCACGGGGGCTGCAAGTCGGTGAGTTTTCCTCAGGAACCTTGAGTTGTATGTTGCTCGTGTCATGGCAAGGTTTGGTCAGTTTGGAAAGATGAGAGATTGTCAATCAAGCAGAGCAGAAAATGAGTCTAAATAATTCTACATCTACCAGGCACAATGCTGTGTACAAGCTGGGTTAACCAAAGGTTGTTCAAGACGATGCCTGGGAAAGGCTGAGTAGTGCCCGCCTCGCCTTATTCATACCTGCAGGAAACAGAAAGCTCCAGAGATAGGACTAGCTCAGCCGCCTAGAACAAGAACACTTGGTTAAAAATCTGGATGACTGTGCTCCACAAAGAGCCCTGATAGCATAGTGGGGTACACTCTGGGCTGCTAACCGCAAGATCAGCAGTTCAAATTCACCAGCCACTCCTCGTGAGAAAGATGAGTCTTTCTGCTCCCGTGAAGATTTACATCTTCAGAAACCCTGTAGAGATTCTCTGTGAGTTCGAACCGACTCCATGGCACACAGCAGCAGCAATAGTATCAGAATCTGTGGGTAAGGCACATTTCAGTGGGAGGAGCCCTGCCTCAGAGTTTGTGTATGAATCAACAGCTAGTGCTTAGCGAAACTGAGAGCAAGCAGCCCTTGCTACACTCAGAACAACATCCCTGATCATACTTCAGCTCCAGGAGATCCAGAAAGCGGGTGTCTGAGCTTTTACAGTTACCTCTCTAGGGCTTTCAGTCTATGTGGAAATAGCCTGGGATCATATCAATTGACCATACTTCTAAAAACATCTAGAATTCAATGATATCAAGAGTCTTTGATATTTGAGAAACATACATTTAATAAACATCCCTTGAACCCTATTGCATACTAGGCACAGGGAAGATGAATTGGATGTCTGGGCTAATGCATTCAAGAATGTGTTCTTAGAGCTGATGAATCTTTAAAAAATGAGCTGTCGTGGTTCTTAACCATTTGTAAAGGGCTTTAACCAATATAGTTTACATAGCATACTCCTGTATAGTTGAGGTGTTAGGAGTATGGTATGGGGGTTATGAGCATGGAATCTGAGGCCAAACTGGCTAGGGCTTTTTTGAACTCTCAGTCTTCAACTGAAAGGTTTGAGCCCACCAGAGGTGCTTCAGAAGAAAGACCTGGCAATCTACTTCTGAAAAATCAGCCATTGGAAACCCCATGTTCTACTCTGACACACTTGGGGAAGTTACTTGATGACAACTGGTTTGCTATGCTTTTGAATTGAGGGATGAGAGTTAAAAAGTCTTGGGCCTTCTGTGCCCATCCTTGCCTTGGCCATGCAATGTTATAATAAAATGGACATAGTAATGTACTCTTGGAGTCCTGGTGTGGCACTGTAGGATGAGTGCTGGTTTGCAAGGTCAGTTTAACTGCAAGGTTGGCAGTTCAAGCCCACCAGCCACTCCTTGGAAACCCTATACAGGGTCTCTATGAGTCGGAACTGACTCAACGCCACTCAACAACAACAACAACAACAATGTACTCTTGGACTCTGAAGTCCACATGGTCCCTTTGCAGCAACTCAGTGGGGCTGCCAGGACTCATGGAGGCATGAGCGCATGACTGGAGTCTGTAATGGAGCAGGGTCTTACACTTTGAATAAGCCCCTGGCCACAGTTTTCCTTAGAGTTCCTATGGAGAGGGGAAACCAATACCTCCTCAAATAAAGAAATAGACCTTTTTTCTTAATGGGCAGATTCAAGTTTATTAAGGTGTCAATTTTTCCCCAAATTAATTCATGATTATAATACAATTCAAGTAAAAATTTTGGAGGGAGGAATGTGTAAAAGGAACTTGATAAGTTCATTCATTGGAGATTAGAAACAGCTCAAATGCTCCACAATAGGAGACTAATTAGATCATGCTAATAATTATAGCTAAGGAGCCCTGGTGGCAGTATGGGATAAGCAGTGGGCTGCAGGTAAGTGGTTCAAACCCACCAGTCACTCTGCAGGAACAAGATAAGGTTGTCTGCTCTCATAGACATTTGTTGTTAAGTGTCGAGTCGGTTCCGACTCATCATGACCCTGTATAGGGTTCCTAAGGCTGCAAATCTTTATGGGAACAGAAAGCCTCATCTTTCTCCCATGAAGTGGCTGGTGGGTTCAAACTGCTGACCTTGTGGTTTGAAGCCTAGTGTTTATCTTACAGAGCCACCAAGCTTCGCATAAAAACGTACAATCTTGGAAACTGTATATAGGGTGACTATGAGTCAGAATCAACTCGATGGCAGTATTTTTTAAGTTTTAAATAATTATGGTGGTAGTGGTAGTGGTTCTATGCCATGGGGTTGATTCTAACTTACAGCAGCCCTATGGAGGGTTTCCAAGGCTTTAAATCTTTACAGGAGCAGAAAGTCTCATTTCTCTCCTGAGGAGCAACTGATAGATTCGAACTGCTGACTTTGCGGTTAGCAGCTCAGTTTGTAATTTACTACGCTATCATTTATTAAGCATTTAATGTGCCAAGTTTTAGGTGTTTTACATGAACAATCACATTGAATTCTTGAAAAAAAAAAAAAATTGTTTAAACCCTATGAGACAAACAAACAGAGGTAATAGAAGCTAATACTGTTGAATGACGATGCATGGAGGGGACTGTAATCATTACAATGAAATGAAATATGATAGGATGAATATAAAACTGATGTTCTCCCATGTAAACTATCACTCAATTCACAATAAAAACTTAAAAACAAAAAAACCCTATAAGAAAATTATAAGTATAATTTCCATTTAACACATGGAATAATAAAGAACCTGAGTGGTTGAGATAATCAGTTCAAGGTCACGCATTTCATAAAAACACAGAGCCAAGATTGGTCCCCAGACTGCCTGTCCCATGAACTCTTGCTCTTAACTGCTATAGGAGGCATGCAGTGAACAACTGCTAAGAAGACTATTAGGAACCCTGGTGGAACAGTGGTTCAGCACTCAGCTACCACCTGTGGGAGAAAAGACTTGGTGATCTGTTCCCATAAAGATTTCAGCCTTGGAAACCTCATGGGGCAATGCTTTTCTATTGGGTCATGATGAGTCAGAATCGACTCTACAGCCCACAACCAACAGCTACATGAATATGACTGAACTGATTTGAATATTATATATTATAAAGTAATATATAATAAAACAATATGTAATATGTTTATTTTAAAGGAACTCTGGTAGTGTAGTGCTTACGAATCGGGCTGCGAGCCGCAAGGTCAGCAGTTTGAAACTACCAGCTGTTCCATGGAAGAAAGATGAGAATTTCTACTCCCGTAAAGATTTACAGCCTCAGAAACCCTATACAGAGTCACTATGAGTCAGAACCGACTCCATGGCACATAACAATAACAACAACACATTGTTAACAACATAGATTACTGAACAGTTTATAAGTATGGTCTCATTTTTGTTGCACGAAGAAAAAAATAGTATCTTCTTTAAAAGTTCAGAAAAATACGTAAATCTAGGCATTAGGCTGAGATTACTGAAGAACTTAATTTTCTAAACTTTTATGCTATGCCAGTTTTTAATTATCAAAAGGTTTTATTTTAATAATCTGGTGGAGAACTTGAGACTCCAGAAGTTAATTCCTTGATAAAATAAACTTTAAGGCAAAAACCAGCATAATAGATAAAGATGGACATTATCTCATGATTAAAGGGACAATTGAACAAGATGACATAACTGTAATAAACATCTATGCTCCCAATGAAAGAGCTCCAAAATATATAAAGTAAACTCTAATAGATTTGAAGAAAGAAATAGATGAATCTATAATAATAGTGGGTGATTTTAATACACTGCTTTCAAAAATGGATAGAACAACCAGAAAGAAACTTGGCAAAGACACAGAGAAACTAAACAACACAATCGGCCAACTGGACCTCATAGATGTGTACAGAGCATTCAACCCAACAACAGCACAATACACATTGTTTTCCAGTGCACATGGAACATTCTCCAGAACAGACCATATCTTAGGCCACAAAACAAACCTCCATAAATTTACAAATATCAAAATACTACAGAAGTTAATTCCTTGCCCAGGGTCCAAAGTGGCAGAGTCAAATTCAGACTTGAGTCTGTCCACCCTTTGTCTTAGTCATCCAGTGCTGCAATAACAGAAATACCACAAGTGGGTGGCCCTAACAAACATAAAGTTATTCTCCCACAGTTAAAGAGGCCATTGTTGTTATTGTTAAGTGCCACTGAGTCAGTTCCAACTCATAGCGACCCGGTGTTGCATCTTCGAAGCTGTAAATGTTTACGAGAGGAGAAAACCTGGAAGTACAAATTCAGGTTTTGTCTGTGGGGGAAGGCTTTCTATCTCTGTCAATTCTGGGGGAAGGTTCTTGTCTCTTTTCAACTGTTATTCCTCAATTCTTTGGCAGTCTTCATGTGGAGTGTATCCTCTCCTCTGTTTTGCCGAAGCTGCTCCTCTCAAATCTCAAAAGTGACTGGTTTAAGACATACCTACACTGATATGATCTCATTAACATAAGCAAGAAAATCCTATTTCTAAATGGAATTATGGTCACAAATATAGGGATTAGAATTTACAATACACACATTTTTAACTTTTTATTGTGAATTGGATGAAGATTAACAGAGCAGATCAATTTTCCATTCACATTTGATTCATGTCATTGATTGTAACCCCCACAATATAACATCACTTATTCCACTTTCTCCCTATGTTTCCCATTTCTAGTCCTCTTTCTTTCTTAACCTTCTTAACTACTTTGTCTTTGGATATATTTACTCTTTTGAGCTCAAATGTTTGATTATTCTAAGGTGTGCATACCTCACTAGTTTTATTGTTCCATTTATAAACTTGTCTGTTGTTTGGCTGAGATGAGTCATCCACATTTGATCATTTCCAGATCAGGAGAATGACTAAGGGCTATAATACTGGGGATTCTGCCAATCTCTTTAATAACCAGTAAGCCTGTTTGATTTTTTTTATGATTCTGAATTTTGTTCCATATTTTTCTTCTGTTCTATTCAGAATCTCCTGATTTGATCCTTTTCAAAGTAGTAGGTAGTGGTAACCAGGCCCCATCTAGTGCTTCAGGTCTGAGGGTCATGGAGACTGATGTTCACTTGGTCCATTAGTCCACTGGACTCATTGTTTCCAGGCATCTTTGATTTTCATCACTTTTTCCTCCAGACAAAACCCATGTCACTGAGTTCATTCTGACTCGTAGTAATACTATAGGACAGAAGAGAACTTTTCCTTGGGGTTTCTGACACTAAATCTTTACAGGAGCAGATAACCTCTTCTTTTTTCCTCAGAGCACCTGGTGGGTTTGAATCACCAACTTTGTGGTTAGCAACCCAATGCTTGCATATTAAATGATCATCCAGGATCTCTTAAGACCTTAGTTATCAAAGTAGGATGTAGAACATTGTCTTTGTTGACTATGTTATACCAATTGACCTTGGTGTCCCCCGAGACTGTGTTCTTCAGCTCCCAGGCCCACCAACTCATTCCCGGAAGGTGTTCAGTTATGTCTAAGAAGTTTTCATAATATTTCCCCCTCTATGCCCCACCACATTCATGACTATATTTGCAGCAAAGGTACCCATGCACAAATATCCTCTGTCAAACCTGTATATTTGTGGGTATATTCCTACTCTCTCTCACACAAACCTGCTCAGCCTTTGTGTCTATCCATTTATCTACGCGTTGTTGTTGTTAAGTGCTGTCTAGTTGGTTCTGACTCATAGTGACCTTTTATAGGGTTTCCAAGGAGCAGCTGGTGGGTTTGAACTGCTGATGTTGTGGTTCACAGTTCAGTGCTGATCCTACAGCATCACACCAGAAGTCCGCATCTCTAGTAGATCACTGTTATTGCAGGATTGTATCTAGCTCTATAATAAGCACTCGACCTCAAGGTCAGTTTGAACCTCAAGGTCGGTAGTTCAAACTCACCAGCCACTCCTTGGAAACCTTATGCAGGGTCATTATGAGTTGGAACCGATTCAGCAATACTAAACATCAACAACAAAATACATGACAGTATTTACCTCTGTTGCATTAACTCTTCCCCTGACTCCATCATTTTTTCTTGATCTCCCTCTTATTGTATATTGTCTTCCCCTTCACTCAAATTAACACATTTACCTTTTAGCCAATAACTTCCTCTCTTTTCCATTCTCACTTTTTCTTTTAGTATACAACACATATTTGGGGGGATCAATTCAATCTGTTGACATCCTCCAAACCTGTGCTTCTTCCTTTATAACAGGATCTGTTTCCTCTGTTCCACTACTCCACTTGGCCCTTGGGATTGGGACCACAATTTCAGGCAATCACTGGCTTTTTCTTACTGACCAACCAGCAGAAAATCATGCCATGGCTCTCCCATCCTACCGCTCACATTTTGTTTCCTGGACACAAACTGACATCCAGCAGCCAGTTGTTGTTTGCCAACCTTACAGAACACAGTTGAGTTAAAGTTTTCTGAGGTCCATGTGATTTCTGCAGTGAGGACAGGGTCACCTCCCCCACCCACCCCCCACCACCTGCCTTCTTACCTGCACAATCACAGTAGCACAGCATTCCTGAAGAGCACTGAGTCAGACATTGGCAGCTCTGGGCTCTGGTCCCGGCTCTGCCATTGAAACTTCTCCTCATTGCCTCTCACTTTACTATACAATTTTGTAAAATTTGAGGTAACGTTGACCTCTAAGGTCTCTGTAAATTATAATATTTATCACTACAGATGAAGGGAAACCTCCCAGATAAAATTTGTTGTTGTTGTTGTTGTTGGTATGTGCCGTGGAGTCGGTTCCACATCATGGAGGCCCTTTACAGGGTTTCCGAGGCTGTAAATCTTTGTGGAAGCAGAAAGCCTCCTCTTTCTCCCACAGAACAGCTAGTAGTTTCAAACTGCTGTCCCTGAGGATAGCAGCCTGATTCGTAACCACTATGCTACCAGAACTCCTTTACTTCCAGTGAAATGAAGATGCGACTGCCCTGAGGGCTTCAGGGCAATGCCTCTGTTGTTCAGGAAACAAGTGTTCTAGGGATAGCAATCCAATTGTTATAAACCAGAACTAAATGCACTGCTGTGGAGTCGATTCCAACTCATAGCCACCCTGTTGGGCAGAGCAGAACGGCCCCATAGGATTTCCAAGGCTGTAGTCTTCATGGAGGCTGGCTGCTACATCCTTCCCCCACTACACCATCAGAGCCCCTTGTAACAATGTGAGAATGCCTATTTATCAAGTGCTGATGTGTACCAGGTACTGGGTTAAGTTCTTTGCATGATTCTCTTGTTTAACCTCACAACAATTCTTGGAAGTTGGTAATATTTTTCTCAAGGTCACATAGGAAATAAGTGGCAGAGGTGGATTCAAATCCAGGTAGAGGCCTGGTTTTCAGTCCTTCTCATTGTGTAAGACAAAACTACAAGTACAGTTGTCACCTCTCAGCACCTGATGATCAGGTGCCAGATCCTTCTCTGACACTATGTGACATCTGGAACTCAGCTCCTAGTTACTTATTTAAGTAGTGAATTTGTTGTTGAGTGCCGAGTTGGTTCTGACTCATAACAACCCTTTATAGGGTTTCCAAGGAGCGGCTGGTGAGTTTGAACCACCAACCTGGTGGTTCAAACTGACCTTGTGGTCCAATGCTTCATCCCACAGCACTACATCAGGACTCGAAGTGGTATATTGTTGTTGTTGGTAAGTGTTGTCGAGTCGGTTTTGACCCATAGCAACCCTGTATAGGGTTTCCAAGGAGCGACTGGTGAGCTTGAACTACCAGCCTTGTGGTTCAAACTAACTTTGCAGTCTAGCACATTAACCCACAGCACCACATCAGGACTCCAAGTGGTAAATAAAAACATAAAGAAAGTGTGGCACTGTAGCATAAGCACTAGACTGCTAACTAGAGGTTCAAACCCACCAGCTATTCCTCTGGAACCCTATACAGGATTGCTATGAGTCAGAAACAACTCAATGACACTTAGCAACAGCAAATATAAAGAACAAAGAAAAATTCTCTTTCTTTGTTTTCCTATCCTATTTTAAAAATCTAGAGTCACTTCCAACAGTTGCAGGGATAATCCTAGAAATGAACTAAGTTTCTGTGTATAAACTCTGCCTCCTTCCTGCTAACTGGTGTGTTTTTGGACCTAGGTGGGTGGAGTTGCCGACTGCCGAGAGCAGCACCTTGCTTCAGTGCCCAGCGATCTCTCCCCCTATTCCAAGACACTCATACTGAATGCCAACCCTCTCAGGACCTTGTGGAACCATTCCCTCCAGCTCTACCCTCACCTGGAGAACCTCAGTCTACACAGTTGCCGCCTGGAACACATCAGCCGTGGCGCCTTCCAGCAGCAAGCCCACCTGCGCAGCCTGGCTCTCGCTGACAACGCTCTCTCAGAGAACTATAAGGAGACGGCAGCTGCTTTCCACTCCTTACAGAATTTGCAGAGGCTGGACTTGTCAGAGAACTCCCTGACAGAAGACATGGTGGCTCTCATGCTCCAAAACCTCTCATCGTTGGAGTCTGTGTCCCTGGCGAGGAACACTATCATGAGACTCGATGAGTCCATCTTTGAGGGCCTGGACCACCTCCAGGAGCTGGATTTGCAGAGGAACTACATTTTTGAGATTGAGGGTGGTGCTTTTGATAGTTTGACCAAGCTCAGACGTCTCAACCTGGCCTATAATAACCTTCCTTGCATTGTGGACTTCAGCCTCAAGCAGCTACAGTTCCTCAACGTCAGCTATAATGCCCTGGAGTGGTTTCTGGCGTCAGCGGAAGAGGCTGCCTTTGAGCTGGAGATGCTGGACCTCTCTCACAATCAGCTGCTGTTTTTCCCACTCCTACCACAGTGCAGCAAGTTGCACACACTTCTGCTACGGGACAACAACATGGGATTCTACAAAGACCTGTACAACACCTCATCGCCGCAGGAGATGGTGGCCCAGTTCCTCCTTGTGGATGGCAACGTAACCAACATCACCACTGTCAACCTCTGGGAAGAGTTTGCTTCCAGCGACCTCTCAGATCTCCGCTTCCTAGATATGAGCCAAAACCAGTTCCAATACTTGCCAGATGGCTTCCTGAAGAAAATGCCTTCCCTCTCCCACCTGAACCTCAATCAGAATTGCCTGATGACGCTTCACATCCAGGAGCACGAGCCCCCAGGAGCACTCACTGAACTGGACCTGAGCCAGAACCAGCTGTCGGAGCTACAGTGGGCTCCGGGGCTCACCAGCTGCCTACAGAGCCTCCGGGTATTCAACCTGAGCTCCAACCAGCTCCTGGGTGTCCCCACTGGTCTTCTGGCTAATGCTAGTCAAATCACTACAATTGACATGAGCCATAATCAGATCTCACTTTGCCCCCTACCAGTTCACTCAGACCAGGTGGGCACCCCCGGCTGTGTAGATTTTAGGAATATGGCATCTTTGAGGAGCCTCTCTCTGGAGGGCTGTGGGCTAGGGACCCTGCAAGACTGCTCATTCCAAGGAACGTCCCTCGTTCACCTAGACCTGTCCAGCAATTGGGGGATTCTGAATGGAAGCATCACCCCTCTCCGGGACATTGCCCCCACGTTACAGGCCCTGTCCCTCAGGAACGTGGGTCTCACTTCCAACTTCACTGAGTTGGACTTCTCTGCATTTAGGAATCTGAGGGACTTGGATCTGTCAGGAAATTGTTTGACTAGTTTCCCTAGGTTTGGGGGCAGTCTGTCCTTGCAGACCCTGGACCTCCGAAGAAACTCCCTCACAGCCCTTCCCCAGAGGACTGTGTCTGAGCAGCTCACAAGGAGCCTGCGGACCATCTACCTCAGTCAGAATCCATATGACTGCTGTGGGGTGGAGGGCTGGGGGGCCCTGCAGCGCCTGCAGACGCTGTGTATCCCTGATTTAGCTATGGTCACTTGCAACCTGTCCTCCAAGGTCATCCGCATGATGGACCTGCCCAGAGAGGTGCCTCAGGAGTGTAAATGGGAGCAAGTGGACATGGGCCTGCTGTACCTCGTGCTCATTCTCCCCAGTTGTCTCACCCTGCTGGTGGCCTGTACCATCATCTTCCTGACGTTTAAGAAGCCTCTGCTTCAGGTAATCAAGAGCCGTTGCCACTGGTCCTCCATATACTAGCTCCGGCTGCTTGCCAAAGTTAGAAATTTGACCCACACTTGTAAGGACATTTCCGCTGCTAGATGTCAAGATCCCATGTGGAGGCCAAGTCTGATGAACTGGGGTTAATGGATTAACCTGTTCCCCCTTGTTCTTCATCATTATCGTTCATCATCATCCTGGTAACATATTTATTAAGTAGAACATTCACTGAAAATAAAAGACAACGTGTCTCAAATATTTTTTTAATCAAATGCAGTTTGTGGTTTTGTTGGTTTTCTTTTTTAAAAAATGTTCTTTGGTAGTTTCCTCTATTATTTTTCAGTGCCATTCTCTGGGTGACATCTATGGAGCTGGTGAGAAAGGTCAATGATCTCTTTCTATGGATGGTGAGAGCCAGTGCCCCCCTGGGATTCACCAAGGAAGTGAATTTCCAAGGGAAGCTGGGGAATCTGCATGGGATGAGAGCTCTTGCGTCCTGTTTGGGTTGGTTAGGAATGCCGCTGCACTCTCTAGGTACCCCGAATTCACACTCAGAGTCTCTGGGAGATAGACATGACTCTTTTATGGAAAAGTTAAGAGAACAAGAACTGGGACCCTGAGTTTATCATTCAGTGACAAGGCACAGGCCTTGTCCTGAGAGAAAGTAAGGAGGATTGCAGACAGGAGCAAATTCTGCTCACTTGTGGACCATCCCTACTCCTCACAAAAGACCACACTTCTTAGCAGACATTCAGCATCTGTGTGCACCTCATTCCTAGTTTCCTTTCTCCCTCTCTTACTTCAAAAAATAAGGAATGATTTCTATGCTCCTCCTCTCTGGGGAGAAGATAACTAAGACGCAGCTCCTGCCCTGTAGATAGTTTAGAGTTTACACTGTCTTGTACTGTTTATACTTGCTTGTTAAGTCATAACAGGACAACATGCAGTGATGTGGAAAGAAAGGAGAATAGAAATCTCACGAACAGATTACTGCTATCATGTAGATTACATGTCAGCTGAAATGTTTGGCCAAATAAAAGGAAAATTCAGTGATCTTTGACAAAACAGACGTTTTCTCTTGGACGCTCTAGCAGGGCATACACAGGGCCTTTCAGTGAGGCTGACATTCCACAACGTTAGTGTCAGTCCATATCGGATACCGCGCTTGTTTGTCCCCATTCCTTCCCACCAACGTGTCTTTTTCCAGCCATCACTGTGCCAGCCCAGCACCTTGGATATCCCTCAGGTGTTCTTAAAGCCCCTGTCCACCAACCAGTCCCCATAAGACCAGACTTTCTTGATTTCCTTCCTGTCCAACAAAAATTCTTTCCATGGGCTCCTGCTGTTTCCCAAAGTGACAACTAGCTAATTAGACAAATGAGTCAATCTGTGGCTGATGTGTTTATGACTTCTCTTGAGTTAATGTGTCACCCACCCCTTGAATCAGTTTTCTCAGCTGATTGCAACTGAAGATGACTGTCTGATTTAAGCAGGATGAAGACTTCGTAAAAGGATACTGGGATGCTTGCAGCTTCTCTGGGAAGGCTGAAGAACAGCAGGAATAGGGAAGGCTATGAGGAAGTTGGGATAGTAAACTAAATCATGCCACAGCCAACATGGCTGCAGATACTTAGTACTGGATGCCACAGTTGGCATTGCTGCCACTGACAACTCAATATAGGGCCCTTAAATTAGATCCAGAGGGTGTGGAGGAAGGTAGAATCTCCACTGAGTAGTATCCAATCTGTCTGGGTGGGGCTGATGAAAGGAAATGGGGATAGGTCTCTTGTGATACAGTAGTGAGTAACTGTTATCAGGACTGATTGTGAAGATTGGAAATGTAAAGGTAGACTTTTTGTAGCAAGGAAGGGAGTGATTAACTTTGCAGTCTAGGAGTGGAGGTCCCTGGGACCATCAAGGGTGGAGAGCGGAACCCTACCCAGAGGAGCAGTGACACCAGAGATAGAGGCAGAGTCGATGATGTGGAGAGTTGGAGCGGTTGGGGACTTTAGACTCAGAGAGGGAGAGGGACTGTGTGCTGACAACCAGGGGACAGGCTTGCATGGTATACCCTTTGATTGGTTGATGATTCATGGAGGGGATTGTAACCATGGCAATGAAAGGATCTACGATAGGATGAATGTAAAACTAATGTTCTCACATGTAAACTATCACATAATTCACAATAAAACATTTTAAAAAGGAAAAAAAAAAAAAGACAGGGCCCTTGCCCCTGCTAGCACCCACTGTGGAATGCTCTCCCAATTCTGCTGTCTGTGTCACTAGCCCATGGAGCACAGCCTGGAGCAGAGGTACCTGGTTAGCTGACCCTGGCTACAAGAGAGTGTGAAACAGCAAATGCTATCTACAGCTGTTGATGAACTACCTATACTCATACAAGAAGGTAGGCTCTGCTTCCTACCAACACTCATAAGGTGTGATGTTCTCAAAACAGAATGTTGAACATATATATTTTAACACAAGGACTTTTTGAATCAAAATTTTAGCATAAAGGAATGACTCAACTATTGAAACCTTCAGATAGAATCAGAAATAAGTTAGGGTTCAGGCAAGCCCTTTGAAGCCCCTCAAGTCACACCATGTAGCTGACCATCCAGTCTACCTATTCTTAGGACCCAGTCTTGCAGAATGGCTAATTGAAAGGTAGAGGTTAGGACAGAGCCCTACGCCTGTCCATGGCAGTGACTTCAGAGGACTGTAGCTTTTCTAAGTAGTTCATTCCATTACTAGGATCCAAATGCTGTTTACTAGGCTCCTTTCAGTATGGTCCAGAGCTGAGAAGGACAGGAAGGGCAGTTGGATTTCTGGTCCAGTGATGAGCTTTGGTTTCTATAGGAAAGTCTGCTCTTGTCCTGATATGACCCCACCTACCTACTTCCAAGCTGCAGCAGAGAGGAAATACTAATGTCTACTCCGAGACTAACGTCTACATAGCCAGTTACCAGAACTCCTAGAATGATTGTCTGCGTCAGGTCACTGATACACTCAGATTGAGCACCAAGTGGCTCTTTCTCATAGGTGGGAAGTGAAGGACAACTCCAATTGCCACATGACAGAATATTCAAACAGGAAAATATTCAGATTCAAAGATAAATAGCATCAGAAATTGGCCTAATGTAAGTAAAAGTAATTGAAAAATTTTTTTTTCCAAGACTGTAAATCTTTTTTGAATTAATACTGTCACATCTTTCTCCCTCAGGGTGGCTGAAGGGTTCGAACCACTGACCTTTTGTTAGCAGCCAAATGCTTAACCACAGTGTAACCAGGACCCCTGAATATTGTGAAAGAGTTTAATAGCAGTATTTCCTGTGCAGCACAGCTTGCTTCACTTCACCTCTTTACTCCAGTTTCTGTTTCTATAAAATAGGAATAGGAGCAGCATTTACTTCACATGGCTTTTGTGGAGGTTTAATGAAGCAGTGCACACAAAGTTCCCAGCCCCGTGCCTGCTGTCATTGAATACAAAGCTACTGTTCCCCCTGTCCTACTCTAACAAAGAGCCAGCCCCTCACAGGGACACAAGGAAGACACACCAGTGGCTACAAGACCTGCCACTTGTTACACACATTCCGTCATCCCTATTTTTCACACAGCCTTCTGATGATGTGTTTCTCTCCATTTTATAATTGGGTAAGTGGAGGCCCTAAGGAGCGAAAAGACTTTTCTTTTACACAACTGCTAAATGGCAGAGCTGGGACTAGAACTTGGGTTTGCTGGACTCAGAAGCTTGCCCACACTACCACTAGCCTTTAGGTGTTACAGGAACTCGACAGCCGATCCGGCCTAGACACCCAGCAGTTCCTAAACTAAAGCTGCCCTCCAACTGGGACAGACCTCCGCACCCCTTAGGTCTCTCTGCTGTGTTCTTGCCTCCCTCCACCCTGGCACAACTGGAGTGTTTTCCCCAAAATCCACACCTGCCCATATCACCATCCTGCTTAAGTCCTCCTTTTCCTGTCACCAACAGAGTTCTGATTCTGGTTTCTCCCATCAGCCTTCCCTGCCCTCCTTTCTGACATCCCATCCTTGGGCCTCTGAGTTGATCCTCTCATGTTACAACAGTTTCCTAATACTGAGTCCTCTCTCACTTTCAGACCTGGAGCAACCAACTCCACCTTCTGGAATCTAGTGAATTCCTGATACCCTTCAAGGCTCTGTGTAGTGCTTCCTCATCCAGGAAGTCTTCCTTGCCCATCCCAGTTTCCCGTCTAGAACAGATGCCCCCTTGCTCTACCCACCACCTGGGGCCCTGGTTTTCCCCCTCCCAGTTCCCACAGTGCCCAGCTGTGGGACTGTATGTTTATAGAACTGTCCCTCCTCCTACAACCTGGCTGAGATCCCCTGGGGATGAGGCCCCAGTAGGCCCCCACTGTCTTTTCTGACAGGGGTAACTGGCTCTCAGTAATTCTAGAAAGACTAGTGGTTTGGTCTGATAGTTCTATGGCAAATACTAGTGGCTGGAATTCTTACGGGCAAAATCTTTTATACTAAACTGAAATGATTGGAATTATGTTGTTGTTTGGTGCCATTGAGTCAGTACTGACTCATAGCAACCCTATGCACATCAGAACTAAACACTGCCTGGTCCTACGCCAACCTCACAACTGGTGCTATGCCTGAGCTCATTGCTGCTGCCACTGTGCCAGTCTATCTCTCTGGGGGTCTTCCTCTTTTTCTCCAACCTTCCAGTTTACCAAACATAATATCCTTCTCTAGCTACTAGTTCCTCCTGATAATATGTCCAAAGTATGAGAGATGAAGTCTGACCATCCTGGCTTCCAAGGAGCACTCTGGCTGCACTTCTTCCAACACAGATCTGTTTGTTCTTTTGGCAACCCATGGTACTTTCAGTATTCTCCTCCAACACCACAACTCAAATGCATCAATTCTTCTACAATCTTTCTTATTCATGGTCCAACGTGTGCATACATATGAGGTTATTGAAAATATCATGGCTTGCGCCAGGCACACCTGCATCCTCAAGCTGACATCTTTGCTCTTAAACACTTTAACGAGCT